AACTATTCATCAGCCCGTTTCCATATTTAACAATTAATGCTGGCTATGAGTGTTTGCTTTTAAGTCTGTATACAAAGACATTTTTGGTATGACAGAGCATGTGTGTGGAGGTCAGGGGATAACCTGGAGGAGTTGGTTCTTTCCTTCCAACAAATAGGGCCCAGGATCCACCTTAGGCTGTCAGTCAGGCTTATCGGCAAGCGTCTGTAACCACTGAACCACCTCACTTACCCACATTTTTCTTTGGGGTACAAAAAGAACTGAGATTCCTGGGTAATACAGTAACTTCGTGGTTGTGAACCACCATGTGGTTGCTGGGAATTGAACTCAGGACCTCTGGAAGAAGAGCCAGTACTCTTAACCTCTGAGCCCTCTCTCTAGCCCCCATAACATTTTTTAATTAATTAATTAATTTATTGTTTATGAGTGCTCTATCTGCATGTACACCTGCATGCCAGAAGAGGGCACCAGATCACATTGTAGATGGTTTTGAGCCACCATGTGATTGCCAGCACTTGAACTCAGGACCTCTGGAAAAGCAGTGTCTGCTCTTAACCATTGAGCTACCTCTCCAGCCCCACCCCTTCCCTTTTTAAGATAGGGTTTTACTATGTAGCCCACCTTTCCAAGTGCTAGGATCACTGGTGACTTATCTGGAGTTTGTATTCCAGATCTGAGTAGCTTAGCCATACATTAGCCATTCGTGCGGCTTTTAAGTGTGGCTTTAATGTGTAGCTTCCCAATAGCTAATGTTGAACTTCTCTTTATATGCACACACATCCATATATCTTTGCAGATATGTCTTTTCAAATCTATTGTCAGTTTTTGCTTTATTGCACTTTTTTTCCATTCTCAATAGGGTCTCATGTAGCTCATGCTAGCTTTCAAACTAGCCAAGGACTAGCCAAGGACTTTGGAACTCCTGATTTTCCTGCCTCTACTTCCCACATCCTGGAATTATAGGCATGTGCCACCGTGCCCACCTTCTAATCTGCTGTCAGTTTTAAATGGAGCTGTTTTTAGTAGTGAAGTACTGGGGTTGTTTGTTTGTTTGTTGAGATGGGTGCTCAGTATCCAGCCCTGGCTAGCCTGGAACTTGCTGTGTAGCCTGGGCTACCTGGAACTCACATCAATCCACCTGCCTCCTGAGTGAAGGAGTACAGGCATGTGCCAGCAAACCCAGCTGTCACTTTCTTTATAAAGGGTCTTTGAAATAAAGGGGGTGGGGAGGAAGGGTTATTTCAACAAATTATTGTATCCTTTTCTTTGGTTCTTTGTACTTTTGAACTTGTCACTGAGAAGCCTAGCCCAGGGTGACAAAGATTTATAGTTTCTTCTAAGGATTTTACAGTTGTGGCTGCTCAGTTTTGACATGTGGTCTGGATATGTAGATCAGGTTGGCCTTGAACTCCAAATCTTCCTGCTTCTGTCCAGTACTAGCATGACAGGTGTTTGCCACTAGTTTAAGTTCTTAAAGTCTGTGATCCCCTTGACTTCGTTTTTGTCTTTGGCACAGGCTATGGATAACCTAACTTTTAACACTGGCTTATTTGAAGACAGGGGACTCAAGCTCAGAGACTGAGAGGATTCCAGCAGCATTTGCTGAAGCACAACTCTGGTCATGCCCAGCAGTAGAGCTTTCAATTTGGTTTAGGCAATAGGAAAGGCAAGCAGAGGCATATGTATTCAATACGTAAATACCGCACAATACTGGAGGAGATCCAGAGGTAATGGCACAAATTATAAAGTGGCTAATGAAAGCAGTGGCAATAAGCACAAGTGGAAAGATCCTGACATAGGGGTACTCAAAGAAATATGGACAAGAGGTAAGATTAGATGGCAAAGAATACAATCTTTGATCAAAAACAAGGTCTGAGTATAGTAACTGGTTTTATTGGGCAGCTCAAACAAGTTCTGAAAACACCTAGTCAAAAGGTATTCAGACAGGTATTTTTGGATTTGAACAACTTTCTGCCAGTTTCAATGGTTCAGGTATGTACTCTCTACTCTTGGGCAGCCAGTGTAGTATTACTATTTCTGTTCAACAGAAACACTGTCTTTTGGAGGGAAGAATGGGGATGGGAGAGTGAGGATTATTAGACTCAGGAAGGAAAGGAAACCTACAAGGGTTAGGAAGCTCCTGAAACAAGATTCACAAGGCCCATCCCATCTAAGCAGCACCTGCTCAGTGAGAGACTCCAAGCGGTTGAGCTGCCTGTCAGTCCTGCCCGGTGCTTCAGGGATGTTGTTCCTGGAGTCATCACCTAAGCTGAGGGAGGCTTTTCCTTGATGACACTGCCTTCAATTCACTCATGTTCCTGTAAGTAACCACAATAAATTCACTGGCTCACTAACATAGTCTTGGCTGAACTGGTTTATGGTTTTGGGTAGTGACCTGTTTGAGGTGAATAGATGTTTGCTCACATGGCCTCAAGAAGTCACACGACAGTGAGATCACTATGTGTTCACCTGCACACTTATTTGCAGGTAATAGAAAAATGTAGGCTTTTCAGCACTTCGCCCTATGTCCCTGTAAGCCCAGGTGTGCTGGGTTTTGCATTCTGGTCTATAAAAATGGGCAATCTCAGCATACTACAGTGTTTCTGCATAAACCAAAGCGCAATAGACAGAGTTCTTATTCTCCTGAAATACAGACATCTGTCATTTCATAGTAAAACCAATAAAGTATTTTTTAATTCGTTGCGACACTTGAAATCATTTATTTCAGCAGAATGAAACAACAGCAGCACGGCAATGTGAAGTGCTACATAAAAGCCCCATGTACAAAAGATTTGAAAGGCTCATGGGCGTGGGCCACTACAAGCAAAACAGACATTTTTTTCAAGCATGCTATTTTTAACTGCTTCGATGTGTAGTCATGTACTGTGCTGGTCAGTGAAAAAGCCTTGAGTTTTGAAATCTGAGAACTGGGAAAAATGAGAATTTAAGTCTTTAACTACCAGCTTCTACACTGTATGGGCCCTTATGCTGGAACTGAGAGGTTAAACTGAGGCTTTGACAATAGAGGCCCTTCTGGGAGCTCACTGACAATTTTTAGAAGGGACAATTTTTAGAGCATCTGAGGGAGAAAAGCACAAGGTACCACTTTGATGTGTGTATCAGGTGGTAAAGACTGCCAACACATATAAGGAGGTAGCCAGTTTAGCAACAGTGAGGGCAGAGTGGACGAGGTTACATAACAGCCACAGCATTTAGCACAGTGCCTATGGAAGACGCAGCGAGATCACAGAGCTCCACAGGCTGGCAACGTCTGGCTGGGAGGACTCAGGGTGATGGTATATGGGAGTCTCTCCTAACAGGAAAGGCCACCCAGGCTTGCCACTGGATAGCTCATGTCTTACTAGGAGACCACTGACCCAATGCTTCTCCTATCTCGTCTTATAAACTAAGAACTCAGAACATGCTTTTTCATGGCAAGAACATTATTTTTAAAATGGTAACCTATAGTCTTCCTGACATGAAGTCTTTACAAAATTCTTGGGCTTTTAGACATTACCAACTTCATCTATAGAGATGAACAATCCGTGACTATAAAATGTTACTCTATTAAATAAAATTTAAGATTATTTTATAGCATACAGTGCCTTTTAAAATTTTAGGTGTTGATATAACAAAACCCGACTACCAAATAAAAATGGAAATTATGTCCAATGGTTAACAGACCCCAAATCACATAATAGGAGTGAAAATTAAACTCACCTTTAAAATGACTTTGTGAGCTGTTTTTTTTCTCACCCATAATTGCATTTAGTCAAAACCACATAAGGACTTTCCGACTACCCTCCCACACATACTTAAAATACGTATGAGTTAACCTTTGTATACTGATCTAGAACCCAAATAACATTTACATTCAGCTGTCCTTAAAAAACAAAACAAAACTTATAAATGGGCTTTGAGAACATGATATATTTAAAAGCTGGGGACTGCCTATATTTTTCAGTTAAAGTGGCAATGCAGGGCCCTCACAGTTGCTGAAGGAGCATGCTGAAGGCGAGATTGTTTTGAGCGGTCTCACTAGGCACTGTGAAGACAGAATCAGACGTCAGCATCCGGGGACTTGTTGGCACTAAGGAACAGATGAACTTCCCATTGAAATCTTTCTTGGCTTTGATTTATTTATTCTAAATAAAGTTTGTTTGTTTTTAATCTATCACTGTTACTTGGGCCCTGAGTTTTTCTATTAAAATTTGAATATTATGCATATTCCTAGAATAATTAAAAACTGTAGTGATTACAAAGCTAAACATAGAATTCAAACCATGTACAAATGAAAGCAGAGCAAGGATTCAAACTTTTTAAGATCTCCTCACCTAACTTGTGATGAAAAAACCAAATAATTTCTTGGCTTGGCCCTGTCTTCCTTGAGATGGGCTATGAAAGCCTGTTTTCATATGTGTGCATATTAGAGATGGTGCATGTCAAGGTAGCTACAAAGTCTGTCCTCTTCAAGTATTAGACAAAATCAAAAAATATAATAACAAAGACCTTCAGAAATGCCTGAAATAAAATTATTCTCACTGAACAAAGTTTCAAATACAAAGATCACAGAATGGGCAACCGTAGTCTCTCTCCCCTAAATGACAGTTCAGGAAGCCAGTGAGGAATCTGCCCTTCCTCTGCCTCCTTTACTCTTTCTCATTCTACATAACTAAAGACAGGACTCAGCAAGTCAAACTGAGCAACCAGTAATACTCCAGATGGGTAAACACCACTTTTTATGTTAAAATTCCAAAGGACTACATAGAAAAGCATTGCAAAGCTATAGAAAAGCAGCTTGGGTGTGAGCAACCACAATGAGTTACTTGTTTTGTGAAGTAGATTAAACAGTAAGACAAGGAACTATGGCTTCCAGTCCCTTAATCAAAGCAGGGCAAACTGCTGGAGCACATCCTGAATGCTACCTATAGCACAATGACTTTATACCAATAAAAAAGTAACGAAGGATAAATACAAAATAATCTTTTTGTAAACAATCCTTAGGTTATACCCAATGCAGAATGTTTAATGAAGCAACTGAGTCACAGCTCTCAAGTCACAAAGCAGCATTATAACTCAAAGTCAAATATGTACTCATTGGCCAGATATATTCGTCGGAATATGAGAGCCGCCAATGCCAATGTCAGGATGACGATGAGCACGGCTGAGCCGCCATGCTCCGTGCGGGTGGCTCTTGGTGGCTGGCCCTGGGTTACGTCGGGGGCAGAGGATGGCCTTCTCTGACTCTGCTGCTGGGCTCGGCGCTGCCGAGGGCTCATGGAGGTACTCTTAGGAGCTGACTGGGTAGGTTGCAGCAAGGGTGCTCCAGATGGGTTCTGGGCTCCATACTAGGAAATAATAAGAAAATCTGTTTGAAATTGACAAGAAAAAAAAAATGTATCCGTACTTGTTAAGAGCTGAGAATACCAAGCATTAAATATGACTAAGGAAATCTACCAAGAACCATTTGAATGCTGAGAGCAGAACCAACCCTGAGGAATAAGCCAGAAACATGAGGTACCCTGAGTACAATGAGGTGGAGGAGCCCCTTTACCAGCAGACAGATGCCCTCGTGCAGCTGTTTCTCTCCAGGCGGCAGCAGATGCAGCAGCAGCAGTTTCTGCTAAGCATCTGGCACTGCTCTTCTTTCAGAAGATCCGAGGAGAGAAGCACTTTGTTCTCCACCTCCATCTTGAAAATTACCCATTACAAATTGGAGAAAGACTTCAACTCCGAAAAGCACACCTTCCGTGACTCTGATTTCTTCAGTGTTACCTTAGCATGTCGATGTCTCTCCATCAACAATAATAAGGAAATAATCTTAAACCACAATGTTTTCACCTTGCTATTGTGAAAATATGCTTGTTTTCAAATTTCTTCCAGTCACCGCACTGACTGCTCAGTGGAAACGATCACAATGTGACACAAGGCTTTCCAAGTCTTAAGTTTGCCTTGGAGATAATAAAACCAGCAACAGCACACTCAAAGACACCACAAGACACAGAACCACACAGACACAGACTCCTTACCCTGCCTCACTGCATCACTGGGGCAGCGTCACCACCAGAACATACTCATTCTCTCAGACAAGAAACAGGATGTTTTACTTCAAGTACTTTCCAACAGAAATGTAAACACTTAAAAGAATCAAATAATATAAACCCAAATACTTCTTTAAATCATTACAAGTATAAGCTGGGAACAGCTTTAAGCACGAGGGGGAAACTGCTAAATCTAAGTAGTTGCAGAATTTCTACTTAAAACCTGATATTCATTTCAAATTTAACCCATAATGCACAGATATAAAGGAACTACTGATGAGTCTGAGTTAAAAATAGCACTAATGCTGAATTAAAAGCTGCACAGAGTTAGACTTGTACAATCTAGGCCTTCCAAGGACAATCTGTCCACTGAAGAGTGCAGATACATAAAGCTCTATGGTGTATGAGGTCCCGTGTCATCACAAGTGCCATACAGGAAGTAAACTACTGTTCAATGAGTGACTTGAGTTACAGCAGCTAATAAAGCAACACTGCAGTCTAACCTTCACATCCTTCTGATGCTCAGCTAAGAGCATAAATGTATTCAGGAGATCCAAGGACTAAGGTTTAAAGAGAACAGGTCAAACCCCAGCTGGCTTGAACACGTGACCCTCTTCCTCAGCCTCCCACCAGCTAAGACTGCAGGCATGCACCACCACCCAGCGAGGACCAGGCTCTCTAAGGAAAAAAAACATGACAGTATCAGCATACTGCCTAAGAGACTGACTCCTATACAGCTTTCATAGACTATATTATTTTTTCTTGGTTTGAAGGGGGATTAGCCTACCCTTAAAATGGAGAAAATAATGAGTCTTTGTTATTTCTAGTCTAGATGTGAGTCCTGAAGCCACATTTAACCCCAGTCTCAGCTCCCTCATCTGAACAATGAGGATAATATCCAGTTCAGCAGTCCTGATGATTAAGTGGATTAATGGCATAAAGTGCTTATGACACACATTTACTTGGCAAATGTTAATCATTACTAATATTGTTACTATTAACATATCCTTTTGGAGGCATTCAGATTTAGGCTCAAAAACTAAGTTGTGAATTTCCTTAGCTTAGCCTCCTTGTTAGTATGATTACTACGCTTAGAAACATACCTTAAAACATGCTTGTAAGCTCAGCACGTAGGAGGCTGAGGCAAGAGGACTGGCAAAGTCAAGGCTAACTTGAGTGCACAGTAAGACTATGTCTTTTTCTCTTTTTTTATGTTTTTCTTGGCTTGTTTTTTTTGTTTGTTTTTTTCTTTTCCAGTGCTGAGGACCGAACCCAGGGCCTTGCGCTTGCTAGGCAAGCACTTTACCACTGAGCTAAATCCCTAACCCCAAGACTGTCTTTAAAAACATTAATAACCCAACCCACATACGCAAGACTGTAGGTTTGATCCCGGCACTACAAAACTAATTAATTCACCAACTAATGCCCAATATTTTAGTACATGTGCTTTAATGAAAATGCTTATTGTTGGGCAGTGGTGTTGTGCACACCTTTAATCTGAGGGAGAGGCAGGTAGATCTTTGTGAGTTCAAGGCCATCATAGTCTACAGAGCAAGTTCCAGGACAGCCAGGGCTACAGAGAGAAAACCTATCTTGAATGTCCCCCAAAAAGCTTATGTGTTTTACTTACGTTTCTACAGTTCAGGTGCCTTTTGTGCAATTGACTAAATATTGATGAAATATTACAAAATGCTAAAATTTTTCCCATCTAAAATAATTATATTCATAGTTATGTACCTAGCAATACAGCAATTTGTCTATACTAACTTAGAATAGCCAACAGTGAGTTCTATTTACTTATTTACCATGGCTGTGTACACACAAGGAATAGTGGGTACATGGGCTGTGTCACACCCATGCAAGTTGGCCCTTCCCACCACTACGTGGTGTAGCGAATGCCTTTACCCACTGGGCCATCCCACCAGCCCTGGAATGACATAGAACGGCTTACTTATTAGAACGTCAGTCTCTGGATGGGACCAGGAATCGACAGACTGAAGAACATACACTACTGTCAGGTATTATGGTAAGGACTAACGCACAGAAAATTAATGACTAAATAAGTAATATCTAAAAGAAGTGTACCTGGAATATGTAATGAGGCACTTGACAGATTTAAAGTATGTTTATGTGTCCATCTTACTCCCTGAAAGAAAGCCACTGAAAGGTATCAGTCCCGCTTTCTACTAGATTATTTTCATTTTTCAATTTTCTAACCTGTGAAGTCCTCTAGGGCCAGTGAGATGGCCTAGCGCATAAAGGCGCTTGCTGCCAAGCCTGACGACCTAAGTTCACTGCCAGGTCTCCCAAGGAGGAAGCAGAGAACTGTTCCTGGAAGTTGCCCTCTGCCTTTTATAAATACATAGCAGCATGTGCACAACTCCCTTAATAATCAATAAATGTCTCCTATAAACCCAAGGGAAGAATATAAGATGCAGTTTCCTAGTCAAACAATCTCGAACAAAAATGACTCCAAAAGAGGTAAGTTCATCTTGTATACATATTAAGTCAAGCCATTTTCCCCTCCTAATCCTCGTTATTCAGCACTAGTCTAGGAATATTTTTAATCAGTCTCTCTGATCACCTGCGCTGACCCACTTTTTGAAGCAATGAGTCAGGGCAGAGAAATCACTGCCCATAAGTAACATTCATCCATCCAACAATTCCTGGCCACTTACTCCACACAAGACAGCAGTTCAACAGGGCTGCGAGCAGAGTATAAGTTCTGCATCTATGCTTCTAAATGGAGCTGCCAGCCACAAGCTGCAGCGAGCTCAGTATGCAGCCAGGGTGCCTGAGGGACAGCATTGTTATGCTGTTATCCTGACTGAATTTAAACTTAGACAGCCACAGGTGACTAGAGTTCCAGGCAAAACTACTCTCCAAGGCTCAGGGAATTACCAAGTCAGTGCTCACAGCCTATCAGAAAGTTGTTACTATTCCTGTTTTATCTAGCCTAGCACAGGTTAGCACTGACTTTGAAGAAGTCATAGTATTCTGAGATGACAACAGGACTTAGAAACTATTTCGTCCATCTCCACTCAACAAAGAAAATCTAAAGCCCAGAAATATTTATTCAGACAATGTAATTAGTGGAGCACCCGAGCTAAAATCCTACTACTAAAAACACCATAATTTTCAGTATTTGATCTAGGAGCTTACATTATTCCAAACAAGTGTGTGTGTATGTGTGTGTGGTATGCTGTGCTGTGTTACAGGTGTATGGTATGTGGTAGGTCATATGTGATGTGTGGTTTATAGTGAATGGTGTGTGTGGTGTGTGTGTGTCTGTGTGTGTGTATATATGTGGCTGTATGGCAGGTATGTGATGTGTGTTGGATACGGTGTTTAGTGTGTACTGTGTGTGTCTATGTGGTCTGTGTGGTGTGTAGTGTGATGTATGTGTATGTGTGTATGATGTATGTAGTGCGATGTTTGTGTATGTGGTGTGTATCGTGTGTGGTCTGCGGTATTTGTGTGTGGTGGGGGATAGGGGAGGTGGATGTGTTGTGTGGTGTGTATGTGTCTGTGTGATGTGTCTGTGTGGTATGTATGTGGTATGTAGTGTGTATATGTTGTGTGGTGTACGCTGAGTGTTGTATATGTGAGTGTGTGTGGTATGTGTGTCTACATAGTGTACGTGTGTGTGCTGTGTGTGTGTGTGTGTGTGTGTATTAAAAGATAAGAGCCATACCGATGTGCTTGCTGTAGCACCCTGGAATGTTGTAGGTAAATCATCTTGTGAATCATTTAGTGAGAAAGAGTGGTTTAAGTCTGATTCAGCGATAGTCTTTCCAGATGAATTGACTTCGGCCTATAAATAAGACATATCCAAGAGCAGCGTTATAAGAAGAAATGTATTAACAATCAACTAATTACCTCTCTGAATTGATTTTCATTGTTCCTTTCATACCTACTCTCAATCAGTTAAGCACATTTGCATCTGCTACATGCTAAGTTTGATAGGAAGAGGACGAGACAATCTGCATTCTCAGGCTGCTACCTGCTAAGGAACAACAACGCTTATGTTCCAAACCTACACTTCTAAGAATCTCCACAAATTAAAGCTTTGGTTGACTTTTAGTCTGTCGGAGCTTTCGAGCCTAGCTCAGGCTGTAACAACAGTCAACAATCCCAGGCTGACCAGGCTTTACTGCAACTAGTCAACATAAGCTGTATGTGTTTTCTCAAATCTGAAAAATCATGATACTCAAAACACATCTGACCTTCAGATATTCAGAGAAAAGATTCTAAGTATAATAGGAATCCTGAAAAGACAAAAGTATCAAGATTTATATTTCCTCCTCCAGAAACTATGGTAAAATTGAAGGGAAAACTCCCAAGAACTTGCCCTAGAGGCAGACAGAGAACAGAAAAGCAGGTGAGAAAGAAAAGGTAGCATACTGCTTAATATAGGTTAGTCAAATTCCAAAAACATGAGTGTGCTTACTCAAAGTATTAAAATGTTATATAAATTTTATATTTGGATAAAATATGCAGAAATGGGGAAAAGGGAGAAATATGTCAAAATATTAACAGCAGCTATTTCTTAGAGGTGAGTTACCTACTTTGCTCAAAAAGAACTAGAATGTAGAAAGCACTAGGGGAATTCCAAATGCAGCTCTAATGCATGTGTGTGGTAATTAGCACACCCTGACAGAGGCCTACAGGGAGGCATGACTACTATTCACAGGTGTAAAGGGCACAGAATGAGAAAGTACTATGTCTGACATACTATGTCAGCATACTGCCAGGAAACCACAAAGTTGAGCTCTGGATGCAGCCTTATATCCCGTCTAGTTTTAACTGCTATGCCCAGATGCTTTCATGAGTGTAGCTTATACATTTTATAGTAATATATATATATATATATATATATATATATATATATATATATATATATTTATAAAATCTCATTCCAAAAGAACTATAATACTTTCCTTTTTAACCTAGAATTCAGCAGTAAACAAAAAGGCTCTAAAAGCAGATCTGTTTAGGAATTTATAGTACCTTAAAACTAATCTGTCTGGCCAGTTCTTTGGCTTCTTGATCAGCCTGGCTTGAATCACTTCCAGATTTTAAAGGCAGCAGGACATCCTTCATGGCAGAGCCACAGCCTTCACAACAGAAATCTTGTGATCTGGTAGGAGACAGCATTGTTCAATGAGCATAAACCAAACAGTGAGCACTAACCCTTCTTAAGACAATCAGACAGGGGCTACAGAGACAGCTCAGCACCTACAAGCATTCCTAGCACCCACATGGCGGGTAACCATCCTAAGCTAAGTCCTAGAGGAGACAAGGAGACAACGCCCTCTCTGACCTTCACAGGCACTGCACACACGATGCACATATATGATGCGCAGCCATATGCACATACATGCAGGCAAGTCACCCATAAACATACAACAAAAAAAATAAATCTCAAAAAATAAAGATGCTTAAATACTAAATGACTAAAAGAAAAGAACACTTACAAGTTCATAGTACAGTCATCTATAGGCTGGGAGACATCAAGGAGTATAGTTCTGAGACAAGTGTTCATTAAAAAAAAAAAACAGCTTAGAGCTGGGCACGGGGGCACACACCTGTGATCCCAGCACTCAGGGAGGTGGATCTCTGTGAGTTCAAGGCCAGCCTGGTCTTCAAAGTGAGGACAGCCAAGGCTACACAGAGAAGCTCTTATCTCAAACAATACAAAATAAAAAGCTTTTATTTCATTTTTTTTAAATAAGTTATCTAAAGAAAGATAAGCTTCAGATCTCCAGTGGCAACATATTTATGTAAATTTTCTATTATATGATACTATCCTCATGAACACATAGCATGAGCCTATTCAAAGTCTGGGAAAATGTCTAATATAAAGTTCCAATTATCTCTTTTAACAGAAACATATAAAATAGGAAAGAAGCCAATTAAAAATAGAACTTATGGCCAGGCATGTTGACACATACCTTTAATCCTAGAACTTGTGAGTTTAAGACCAGCCCCGGTCTAAATAGTGAGTTCCAGAACAGCCAGGGCTACATAGTAAGACCTTGTCTCAAAAACAAAAACAACAACAAGAAAAAAAAATTTACAGATACTGCCTAGAAAAAATTCACATATATTATTCACTTGAGCAGGAGTACAACTGAAAGACCCGGAAGAACTTGCGGAAAATATTAAGGTAAGGCTGAGTCAGCACTTACATAAGCAGAGTAAACCTATAAGCAGACTATGTCCTTAGATGTATTTCCTTTTGTATTCTAGACAGAGCCAAACTGCGCTAAGGCGGTGGACGTGAGTCAGTTAGTAGGGTTTGCCTAGCGTGTGTGTGCACGCACACACACACACACACACACACACGCACGCACGCACGCACACACACACACACACACACGCACGCACGCACGCACACACACACACACACACACACACGCACGCACGCACGCACGCACGCGCGCGCACACACAGAGCCTGGACTTGATTCTAGCACTGCACAGGCCACACAGGCCATGTGGGTAGTATACAGATGGGAGGCAGAGGCTGGAGGGTAGAAAGGTCAAGGTCATTCTCAGCTTCACACTGATGCAAACAGAAGACTCCAATATAGAACATTTGTCAAGACTTGCACCCAGGCGTGGTGGTACACACCCTTAAGGGAGGCACTGGAAAGGCAGAGAAAGGTGGATCTCTGTGAGTTCAAGGTCAGACTGGTCTACAAAGTAAGTTCCAGGACAGCCAGGGCTACACAGTGAGACCCTGTCTCAAAACAAACAAAAGGATTCCATCAACTCAGCACTACTGAGAGGAAATGGCACCTTGAAATGAATGATTACAATATATAAAAACACACCAAAAAGGGGAAAACGAAAAAACGAAACCCTGGGAAGGCAGTATTACCATATCACTACCTAAGAAAAACCTCCTTTATTTTATCCCAGGCCCTTTATTGAATGTCTGCTATAAGCTATGTACGTGGCGCCCTGATAACTCGGGGAGCTGACCTTTCAGACAGTGTGTATGAACAAGGGCTCTCCCCTTCGTGCCTCTGGTACCCTCTGAGGTGGACAAAGGGCAGTAATACTTTGCAGGTATGCCTCCAGCTGGAGTAGAGCAAATCTTAGTAAAGTGTTACCAACTACTCTATTCATTTTTAATTATTATATTATGTGTGTGACTGTTCTGCCTGTGTGTGTCTGAGCATCACATGTGTTCCTGTGGCCACAGAGCCCAGAAGAGGGACTTAGTCGGATCCTGTGGGCCTGGGTTACAGTTATGAATCATAATATGGGTGCTGGGAATCGAACCTGGGTCCCCTGGAAGAGCAGCCAGTGTTCCTAACCACTGAATCACCTCTCCAGCCCACTACTTTTAAAAGAAGGAGATATTTAGACTGGTAATACAGATTAGTGGAAGAGCACCTGCCTGACATGGAGTAAAACCTTGAGCTTGATCAATCCCCAATACTACAAAAAATATATCATGAGTTCAATTTTTTTATATTCTAGTCATTCCAGAGAAATCTGCAGAACTGGATTTCTACAATGCTAAGACTGGATCCTTAGGCAAGGTAACAGCAGAGAAAGAAACCTCCCACCATTAAACACTAATACCACTCGGCCCTAACAAGGAACTTACTTTTTGGCAAGTGCTCTTCTCTCCTCAGGTGTGTAATCTAGAGAACCTATGGCTCCCTCTCCTTTAGTTGGCATAAACCCAATGATGGCCAGCAATGCTGTCCTTACTGAAACAGAAAGTGAACATCAATTCAGTGAAAGGAGCTGGGGTAGGAGTGGGGGTTGGGGTCAGGGCTGTGTTAGGAGTCAGATCAACAGTGCAAGCACGGGGACTGAACTTGGTCTCATGCTTTCTGTCTATCTGTCTGTTTTAAGAAATAAAAAGGCGGGGAACTGGAGAGATGGCTCAGAGGTTAAGAGCACCGTTTGTTCTTCCAGAGGTCCTAAGTTCAATTCTCAGCAACCACATGGTGGCTCACAACCATCTGTAATGAAATCTGGTGCCCTCTTCTGGCATTCAGGTGTACACGTAGACAGAACATTGTATACATAATAAATAAATTTAAAAAAAAAAAAAAAGAAGGGGCTGGAGAGATGGCTCAGAAGTTAAGTGCAGTGGCTGTCCTTCCAATGGTCCTGAGTTCAATTCCCAGCAACCACATGGTGGCTCATAACCACCTATAATGAGATCTGGTGCCCTCTTCTGATATGTTGGTCTGCATGCAGGCAGAATACTGTATAAATAATAAATAAATCTTAAAAAAGAAATAAAAAGGCAGACAGGGCAGTGCATACTCTAACCCATGCTGAGGAGGCAATAAGGTGACTCAGGGGGCTTGCTTAGCCATCGAGTCTAATAAAATGTCCAGGTTCAGTGACTCTGCCTCCAAAACTAGAGCAGAAGAGGACTGAAGAAGACACCCACAACAACTACTGCTCTCACACACATCTGTCCAGAAACACTCACAACACAGACTATATAGATGTTTTAAGAGGAATTAGGCTAACTATGCAAACAAAGATCTGAAGGTTTTCAAAAGAAGTGCACATGAGAGGCTGTTAATGTACAAATCCAGACATGGAAGAGTATTTCTGTTAATTTTTCAATGGGATCATATATTAGCCAAAACACCCTCAATCTCAAAACTGTGTATCATATTATCAACTGATAGTGAAATGAATCTATATTCATTAATACTCACTGCTCCATGAAGGCTGCCAGGTTTCAGGATGATGTCCTGAGATACTTAAACAGATCTTCTTGCCTACTTCAAATCGCCCATTAGCCTTAGAAATAAAGAACACATCTTAAAAACTGTAAAAGTCTATTTAATGCCTTATGCTTTCCAAACATAAATACATTTATTTATACATGCATAATATTTTTAAAGATAATATGTAATATTATCTTTATAAATATTTATTTTTTTATCCTCTTATAGACACTCAAAAATATTTGTGAATTGCTGAATAAATAACAAAGGCTGTTTGTAGAAGGTGCACTAGCATCTTCCTGAGAGTGAGCTAAAGAGCTGGCATGGAAAGACTTACTGACGCTGTGCCCTGTGCCTACTACAAACCTAGGCTTGCAGAATGACAAGACACATAAAAGGCCAGGTTAAACCTAAGGCCAAGGGTACCTGACTATCTGGTGGGGAAGGGTGAGGAGAGGCAGCTCTGAGCCAGGAGTGACTTTTCAGAAGGATGATGCCACTTGCTTAGAGAGAACAGTCAAGGAAGAGTAGAGCTGAGATCATGGTTTTTGACATCACCTCTCCTTTCAGAGGTGACCACTGAAGCTAATTCTCACAAATACAAAGCAGCTGCTGTCCTGAGCAGGTGAAACAGCCACAGCATTAAGGAAGAGGGTGAGAAAGAACAGGCATTAAGAACTAGCACGCCACTGGGAGAAGGCTGACTCTGCCTCCTGGACACCCTCGGGTCCTGTTCACTAAACATTTGCTGAGTCCAAGCTAGAAGTGACTTTAAAAAAGGAAGTGAAGGAGGGCACAGCTGCTTTTCAGTGTGGCAAACCCAAGTGATCCACTGGTTAAGTACTGGTAAAGAGCTGTTGCCTCCTGCTACCTGCACACATATATGCATTTCTCTCTCTCTCTCTCTCTCTCTCTCTCTCTCTCTCTCTCTCTCACACACACACACACACACACACACACACTCACACACACACAAACACAGCACCTTCTCCACATACACCAGCCCTTCTCCAGACTGTTTGTTTCTCCCAGTTAACTGAAATGAGTCCTGACATCAACAATTAGCAGTAAGACCCAATGCTTGTCAAGCAGCTTCTTGATGCCAAAACTTTAGAATGTGGCTGTATTTGCCAGAAGCAACAGTCCATTAGACAGAATTTTAAAGACCTACGTGCGCCCAAATGAAAAGGGCACTAGTCAGTGCCCTGGCCAGTTGTCTCTAAAACAAATGCTTTTTGCCCAAAGTACAGCTACAGCTGAGCTAGTCTGCTGCTATGGATAAACACCTCGGGCCAGAGTGCTACCCTACCCTATGGGTCAGATAAAACTTAGATGCAACAGAAGGAAAACTGAGAAGCCATGGAGGTTCTCTAAGTAGAGAAAGTCTGCTTCAACAAAGAATATCTGTAAAACTGGACTGCAATAGCCTACACAAGAGTAAGGCTATCAAAGAGAAAAACAAGGCAGCAAAAAGGTCATTGTGTTTGGTGTGTGTGATGCATTTTTCATGGTTAGGAAAAAATTAAACATAAGTGAGGCAAGGAAAGTTTAGCAATCAAGAGAGTTAACATAGCGATAGTCTTTTCCACATGAAAATAAAACATGTAAGTAAAGGTAGACATTCTGAGCTATAAACAGAAACAAAATACCATTTATTAATATTTCTGTGGCCGGCTCTAAGAGCTATATGCAGGATACTGACTTTCATTTCCACGTCAGTTCAGTGAGCTGGGTATCATTTTAGTTCACTGTCACTGTGAGGAAACTCAGGAGAAGAATGTGAGGATGGATGATGAGACTGGGTTGCACTAACCATATTGCCACGTGTCGCCCAGCAAGCCTAGCACTTCTCACACATTCACTCCTGAATCCTAACAATTGCACTATGACATTCATGCATTCATTAGTATCACACCAGTACTACCAGATGCATCAGCTTCCTCAGATTTTTTCTGAAGATAAAATACTGCACTTCTAAAAATATAGGGAAAAAATACTGCACTTCTATGGTCTAGACTCTAAAGAAAAATTAGAATAATATTCTACTTCATTTCTTTCTCTCTCTCTCTCTCTCTTTTTTTTTTGTTGTTGTTGTTTAAGGTTTCTATGGCAGATTCTCTTTTCAAACACGACCTTTTTGCTGCCTTGTTTTTCTCTTTGATAGCCTTACTCTTGTTTAAGCTATTGCAGTCCAGTTTCACAGATGTTCTTTGATGAAGCAGACTTTCTCTACTTATCAGAGAACCTCCATGGCTTCTCAGTCTTCTAGACAGGTTTCTCTGTGTAGGCCTGGTTGTCCTGAAACTTACTCTGTAGACCAGGCTGGCCTTAAACTCAGAGATCAGCCTACCTCTGCCTCCTGAGTGCTGGAAATAAAGGCATGTGCCATCACCACCTGGCCTCTACTTCATTTTTTATGAATAAGCTGACTACATTTGCAGATAGCTGGAGAGATTAATCCACAAGGACTGTAAAAAACCAAGAGCTCTTACTGTTAGCAGAATAATGCTTGGTGGTTTCATGGGGTATTCTGGTGGCAGTACTATGCGTCCATGATAAACTCCTCCATCAAAATCAGAATCTGGGGGGCCTCTGACTGTGAAGTGCCATTCAAAAAGGTTATCCTAAACAAAAACAAGAATCCACAGGATGAAGAACATTTAAAAGTTTTATCATTTTTATCAACAGTAACATTAAAAATGTCAGGTGAGGAAAATCAAATGCTTTCTAAGACTGCTATCATAATTTCTAATGCTCAAAATGCCCTAAAATCTTAAAAGGCATTATTTAATGTAAAATTTATGTCTCATAAAAGCTAAATTTTTTAAAACCAAATAAGTTAACATTTCTGAGTTCTATTATGTAGTCATAAAATTCCTTCAATTAAAATATAAATTAGTGAAAAATATAGTAAAATCATTAGTATAAACTTGAGTTACTTTTAACAAATCTCTAAAAAGTATTCTTCATTATGTATAACTAGGTAGTAATATTAATAGACTGGCTATATGTCAGTATTTAGTTATCAAGTTACTTTTCAAACTTCAAAGTTCTTACACACTATAACATTTGTGTCTTCACTATTACCATGAAAACCTTTCACAGGTTTTCGAGCCTGAGATGTTTATGTCAAACAAGCAAGGTAGCTGCAGAGACCCGTGAGGGGTCGACAGCTTCTTACCATGCAGTGTCTATGGTTCCTTCTACTGCTACCCGCCTTCCCTCAACACCGCCCACTTAACAGAGCCCCCTAAGTCAGCTGTGCCTAGTGAAAGACCAATGAAACACTCAGAAAACAAAGTAGGTCAACAGCACCACACACAGCATTAACAACTGGAGCAATGGGAACACAGATCCAAGCTGTCTTAGATACTAAAGTACTGCAATTGGAGAACAGACAGGAACCAACCTCCAGAGGCTGAGCATGGTAATGATCTGTTGGATCTTTTAATTCTGCTGCTTCTTTCATCAATCGCTTAACAGCTAAAAGAAAATCGAGAAAATGGAGATATTTAAAATATGCTTTTCCAAGTGAGCAGCACAGACTAGCCAGGTGTGATGGTGCACCCCTTTAATTCCAGCTCTCAGGTGGCAGAGGCAAGTGGATCTCTGAGTTTGAGATAGAGCAGGTAGCTCTACAGGTGGGTCTGAACAAGCAGAGGAAAGTGAAATGTACAAAAAACATGTTAGCGTGATAGACAAGATAACAGGAAAGCAACTCCCACGCCCAGAATCAGATCAATCTGGTGATGCTTTCCATATTATTTCATTTGAGTCTAGGATTTTTTTAAATCTAGGCTTTAAAAAAAATTCCAGCCAGGCACCACACGGCACATGCCTATAATCCCAGTACTCGGGGAGGCAGAGGCATGAGCTTCTTTGTGAGTTCAAAGCCAGCCTGGTCTACAAAGTGAGTTCAGGACAGCCAAGGCTACAGAGAAACCCTGTCTTGGAAAAACAAAAATAAAACAGAACAAAACACTATAAGGTGCTAGCCAGGAATGATGACCACAGATCTGTAAGCCCTGAACTCAGGAAGTCAAAACAGAAAGCTTTCAAGTTTGAGGGCAGCCTGGGCTGCACAGCAGGACTGTTTCAAGTAACGAAACCTAAGTTCTTAAGTCACTATTCTATTCACAATCATTACTGTTCTTTTCCATCTCCTACCCTCAAGTGAAGCCTTGTACAAGAGAATGTATCCACTTATCAAATACTTTAAGTCTTTATGAGGTGAGAGGTGACAGCTACAATCATCAAATTCTGGGGTCATCAAGGAGCTCAGAGTTGGAAGGGAATCAATATTAACACAGCATGACAAAAATCTGTATTAGAAACATACATATTTGACACAACCTTTCCCTCCAAATTCTAGACACTCAGCTTCTTTCTCAGACACACCTCACCTCTCTCTACTCCAGGCCTCCTTACTTCATGTTTCCTCAGCTAGCAAAGCTGTTCTGGCACCTGTAACCATCTAGACTGACTCCCACATACAAGCATTGTTGTTTGTTACTGTTCTTTTGTTTCGTTTTAGTTTTGATTTTTGTGTTTTGAGCCAAGAGGTCTCACAATGTTATGTGTTGTCATGACACTGAACTGCAGGATCTGTTTAACCCCTGTAAGACTCTATGTCACTGTGGACTCCTCACAGCTTATAATAGAGTATTCAAATATGATGAATGAACATTAAAGTCTTCCAACATTTCTCTTCCCAAGAATCTGAAGCTGTGACTAGTGTTGGTTTTTTCTAAATGAACTTGACATAAAAAAAAAAAAAACAAAAAACCTTTATTCAAAGAAAACCTAATGAGAATCCTAATAGGCAAACTAAACAATACATATCTGTTTGGTTGAAAAGATCAGTGTGGAAAGGGCTCCCATCTAGGGGGCCATGGAGAAGGACTGTAGGCTGCTAAGATGACTCAGCAAATAAAAACACTTGCAAAACAAGCCTGAAGAGATCTTAACCTTAGCTCAATCCCCAGGGCTCATGTAAAAAGCTAGCTGCAGTGGCAAGCGTGTTTTTAAGTCCAGCACTCCTGTGGTAAGAAGAGAAGGTGGAGACAGGAAAATCGCCTGCAAGCTTGCAGGCCTACTAAAGCACACAGTAGACACAGCAAGTGCAAGTACACATCAATAAGGCAGAAGCCAGAACTGACCAAGAAAACTGTCCTCTGACCTTCACACATTCACCCTGGCACGTGTGTGTCACACACACACAAACACACACACATAATGTCTTAGGGTTTCTATTACTGAAACAAAAGATCATGACCAAAAGCAAATTGGGGAGGAAGGGGTTTGTTCAGCTTGCGCTTCATCACTTTGCTGTTCACCACCAAAGGAAGTCAGGACAGGAACTCTTAACAGGACAGGAACCTGGAAGCAGGAGCTAATGTAGAAGCCATGGAGGGGTGCTGCTTTCTGGCTTGCTCCCATGGCTTGGTCAGCCTGCTTATACAATCTAGGACCACCAGTCCAGGGTGGCACCACCTGGGCTGGGTCCTCCCCCACTATCATGAACTAAAATAATGTCTTACAGCTGGATCTTAAAGGGGCATTTTCTCAATTGAGGCCCCTGCCTCTCCGATGACTCTAGTTTGTATGAAGTGGACATAAAGCCAGCCAGTACAAATAATAATTTTCTAAAGAAAAGGACTGAAGTCCTCTGGCATTACTTTTCCTGTTGCTGTAATAAATACAAAGCAACTTAAACAAAGGTTTAACCTCACTCACAAGGTACAGTTCTTCATGGTGGGGAAATCATGCAATAGGTAGCTGGTTATACTACACCCACAGTCATATGAGTGCCAGTATGAAGCCCATGTTTCCTATCAGTCCAGAACCCCAGACCATGGAATGGTGCCTCCCACAGTTAAGGCTAACCTAACCTATGTAATTCCTCATAGGAGATGCTCAGAGGCTCATCTCCTCGGTGATTCCAGGTACTGTCAGGTTGAAAACCCAGTATTAGGATGGTTAATTTCAACTGTCAGTTTGAGGAGATATAAAATCATCTGGGAGATAAGCTGCTGGTAATAACAATGAGAGATTATCTTGATCTGGTTCTTTAAGTGGAAATACCCACCCACTGTGGATGGCACCATCCCCTAACCTAGGATCCTGGATTGGACTGTGTTTTTTGTTTTGTTTTGTTTTGTTTTGTTTTGTTTTGTTTTACGGAGAAAGTACACTGAGCATTCATTACTTCCTGCACTTGGATTTTGATGCAATGTGACCACATGCCCCAACCTCCTGCTGCCATGGCTTTCTCACCACAATGGACTGTAACCTTGAACTGTGAGCCAAAAACAAACCCAATCTCCCTGCAGTGGCTTTTGTGGTAATATTTCATCACAGCAACAGAAAAGTAACCAAAACAGAAATTAGCCACCACACTCCTGTTTTGTTATTATTATTTATTTATACAGTATTCTGCCTGCATGTGAGCCAGTAGGCCAGAAGAGGGCACCAGATATCATTACAGATGGTGACAAGCCACCATGTGGACCTTTGAAACAGCAGCCAGTGCTCTTAAACCTCTGAGCCATCTCTCCTGCCCACCACACTCTACCTTCAAAACCACATAAAAATGTACTGGTTCCTAAGGAGAAGTGTCTTTATGAGTGTTAGGTGCATAGTGCTGCCAGGCAACTAGGGCTAGAGCTGTCTGTTCCTCCTGACCACCATGTCTCTTGCTTTAGCCCAACTCCTCTCTCTCTTCAACCCCAGCTCCTCCCTTGCTTTCTCTCTCTCAGTCCCTTTCTTTCTCTCTCCCCCCTCTCTGTTTTTTTCAAAAGAGGATTTCTCTGTGTAGCCTTGGCTGTCCTGAACTCACTTTGTAGACCAGGCTGGCCTCGAACTCACACCAATCTGCCTGCCTCAGCCTCCCTGAGTACTGGGATTAAAGGCCTGCACCACCATGACCAGCTTGCATTCCTGCTCTTAAGCTTTACTTTTTAATGGAGGCTTTGGTCTCTCTGGATCAAAAGAGATCATGGGGTTCAGGCTCCATGAACCCCAGCATTTGCCCTCTTCTTTTGCCCAGCTAGTTCAATGAACTTACACTAAAGTTAGGGCCAAAACATAAAAATAAAGGGATCTTTTATAGGCCGTTGTCTCCCAAACATCAGTTTCTCTTGGAAAGTATCATAATATCATCAGTTCCCAAGACATGGTGAATTTCAGGAGGCTGCCACCTAAAAATTCCCATCTGGGAACCCCAAATGATGTTCCCAACTTCCCCTTTCTGGTTTCAGAATGAAGGCATGTTGGCAAAAGTTTAAGAACTAATTTTTTCTGACTATAAAGATACTTCTTAAAAATTACGATGTGCCAAAGAGATGCTCACTAGGTAAACGCACTGCCACCAAGCTGACAGCGTGAGTTTCATATCCGAGTCCCATGTGAAGGGAAAGAACTGCCTGCAGCAAGAAGTCACCTGACCACCTGAGTGTCACAGTGCCCACACACACATACACAAACACACACACACTAAATAAACAAATGTTAAGGGGGAGGAGAAATGGCTCAGTGGTTAATAACACTGGCCATTCAAGAGGACCTGGTTTCAATTCCCAGCACCCACATGGCAGCTCACAACTGTCTGTAACTCCTGATCCAGGGGATCTGCCAACCTCTTACAGACATACATGCAGTCAAACACCAATGCTCATAAACATAAATAAGCGCTGGAGAGACAGCTCGGCAGTGGGAGCACTGGCTGCTCCTCTAGAGTACTGGGGTTTGATTCCTAGCACCCACATGAAGGACCACAATCCAGTTCCAGGGGGCCCAAAGCCCTTCACACACAGTGCACAGACATATGCAGGCCAAACATTCCTACATATAAAAATAAAATTAATTTTAATTTAAAACAAAACACATTTGAAGAATGTCTGAGTGGAAAGAGAAAAAAACTTCCTGCCTTAACAAACTTAGAGCAACGAGACTTGAAAAGATTACAAGACAATGTGACAGTGCTGACCAGGTGAACAAGTTTAAGGGCTGCCTGCCTAAGGGAGCTGAGAAGGCTGGCCCTACAGAAGCTTGAAGAAGTGAGGGCTTTCAGATGAGTTAAAGGGAAAGCCCTCCAAACAGAGGAGCCAGCAGAGAAGGAGATAACATCTGGACAGTGGCTCCTTGAAAATGCAAAGGAGTCTAAGGTGATGGAGCTGGGAAAGAAAGCAAGGGTTAAGGCCTGACCAACCCTATCCAGCAAGTTAACTAACCTAACTAACTCTGGGCTTTACCGGCTGCTAAGTGATTCCAGCTGAAACACTGTTAATCTGAGAAGTGATCTATAGGTTTGTTTCAATAGATCTGGTGAGAGCAGTGACAGCTTTCACCCAGGGGCAGAGGTGAAGGGGCTGCCCAAGGAACTGACCACATCTCAGTAGTAGACTGGTCTGCCTAGCATGCTCAAGGCTTAGGGTTGGTGTGTGAAGGCTCAGCTGCCTGAACACTGAATCCACGGGATGCGGATTTTCAGGGAAATACACAAGTTTGAAGGAGTTGAGGATATCATTGAATTTGGTTTTTACAACTCACAGAACCTTTTTCAGTCTATGGGAAATCTGTAAAAATGTTCAATAACTATAATTCTATGCATCTGCAGCTGAGATGGATCTGAGTTGACTGGAAAGTCTGATTTGCATGGAGCTTCAGTTGACACCAACAATATCAACAGGATAATTCCCAGGTTTCTGAAGAGGCAGAGTACATTTACAAACCAACGAAGTTACCATCTACACAATATCTCACTTTAACCATTATCTGCATTGTCGTCTCTTAAAACTTCCCATCCATATCTTTGAGATAACACAACAACAGCAGATAGGAAATGAGATGTTTTAATTTCTTCCTTTCATGTAGCCATCAATCTACAATAACAAAGATTTGAGAATAAAACAAAACAAGCATTATCACCCGGCTTCTCCGAATTTTTTTTTCATTATTATATCCCAATTTATTTCATTGAAGGCTTCTCCAAATTTTAACAAGTCCTTCAGTTCATCTATTCACCTCTAGTAACTCCAAATCATCTACACCAATAGGAAAAATTTTGCTCTTCCAGAGGACCTGGGTTCAATTCAAAACACCTACATGGCTGCTAGCAACTGTCTGTAACTCCAGTTCTCAAGCATCTGACACCTTCACAGACATACGTGCAAGCAAAACACCAATGCACACACACACACACAGATTAAAAAGGAATGTTCCTAAGAACATTTCACACACCAAAACCAAGAACAACAACAAAAATATCCAACTAATTCAATTATTGTGGCATTAAAATGGTAAAATTCAAGCACTTCTACTTTCTCCGACTTTTCTTCAATTCTTCAGATTGTAAGTGATGGGCTGAAGACTGAGAATGTGGTCCCGTTAAAATTCAGGTGTGTAAATGTCATCCTTGCACAGGCATGGTCAAACTTTAAACGAACCCCCTAAAATATAACTGATTCTACATCTAGTCACCTAAGGACACTTAATTATCAGCATGCAAGCTAACGACATTCTGTTAGGCCAATATACTCGGGCTTTTTGTTTATATATTCTAAAATTTGAAGAAAAAAAAATTCACAACGCCAACTCTTTCCATTAGGATATTAGACTTAAAAGTCCAAACTAAAAAGCAGTGTGAGAGAGCAGACTTAAACAGCAGTAAGAGTTCTAGTTCAAGGATCATCAGTACCTTGGGGTTTATGATTAAGAGCTAACAGGGAGGGGTTTGTTTTGTTTTTCTCCTGACAAATTATCAAGGTACATTTAGAATGAACACCTTGTATAGAACCCAGTAATTCGTGTCCCAAATGATGTTTTGTGCAGTGTTTTTAATGTACCAGAAAAATAACTGGAGGCCAGGACTGCCTGGGACACTGGAGGAAAGAAAAGGAATCCTCTGCGTGAATTCAGACATACTAGCAATCAACCCTTCCCCCGCTCCCCAATCGTGGTTAATTCTTCACTAGTTTAGTTACAGGACGTTTTCTTTACGTCTATAAATTCAGCCGCAAGCACTGCAATGGGCTAGTTCAAACGTCAAGACCCCTCAACCATAAGCCAAACGCCTAACAAAGTTCGTCGGCGGCGACACAGGGGGCGGAGAGGACGCGGGGACAGCCCGGCACTGCTGTCCCCAGCCCCACTCCGCAGAGCCCGGGAGGGAGAGGCCGCGAGCCGTGGGGCGCCAGCAGATCGGGGGGCTCCGCAGTGGCCGCTGCCCCGCCCTGCGGCCTGCACCCCCGGACCGGCAGCGGCCTCGCGTCGAGCGCCAAGCCGGGGCAGCCGCGAGGGCCGGCGGACTGGAGCGGGCCGGAGGGCCGCGCCCGGAGCCCAGAGACCCCGCCCGCCCGGCCGCGGCCCGGCTCACCCGGGCTCTTCAGGTTGTAGCGGGTCTCCATGGCGAGCCTCCCCGCTGCCGCTCCCGTCAGCGCCGCGGCTGCCCCGGTCTCGCGCGGCGGACGCGCCTGGCGACGGCCTCGGCTGACAGCGCCCAGTCCAGCCCGACCGAGCGAGCGAGCGACCGACCGACCGACGCGGGCGAGCTGGGTCCGCCTCCCTGAGGGCCGGCCGGTCGCCGAACCGGGCGCCGGGCTGCAGACGGCCTGCGGGGCTGACGTCGGGGGCCGACGCGCCCGCCCGCCGCGTCGCTGCGTCACCGCCCGCGCCCGGTCTGTGAAGTCGGCCTGACGTGGCAGTCGCTTCGTGGCGGTCGCTCCCGCGGCGGCGGCGGGAGGCCGGCCCGGGGACCTGCGGACAGCGGCGGCACCCTCGTCGTCCCCTTCGGCCCAGCCGCGGAGGCCGCCTGGCCGCGGGCCCTTCAGGGGTTCCCCGCCCGGAGCTCGCGGGATGCTGGGAGGAACGGCGGGCGGGCGGGCGGGCGGTCGCGGCCTGGGCCTCGGCGACGGCTGTGCGCCTCTCCCAGCCCGCTGTCGGTGTAGCCGCCACGGGCCGGGCCGGGCTTGTGGCCCGCTGGCCTCTAGTCCGCAGGCTGATGACCTAAGGCACCCGTTTTTCAGTGTGCATCGGAACCTGCCAGAAATGAAACCAACCGCGGGTCCGCGTGGAATGTTAGGAAGAGCGTGTAAACCGGGCAGCTCCGACTTGGAGGGACGGTGCGTCTGTCTTTGTGGAATGCATAGGACAGAAAGTATGGTTCGCCGGATGAGGAAAGAGGGACCAGGACCCAGTAGAGATTAGGTTATAAAGTGAGTTAAGATTAACCAGTCGGACAAGTTAGTGTTATATAAAAATCTTGTTTTATATTGTCAGAGTTTACAGTCTGTATGTGAATTTCGTAGTGACTGGTCCCAGCAGACTGAACTGGGATGGAAAAAAAAATTAAATGGCATCTTTTAAACCATTAAAAGGTGATGTTTTCTGAATAGTAAACTGATAATCGGATGGACAAAGAAACAAGCAAAACCAAACTCCAAGTGTGCAGTCTTTGTTAATCTTTGTTTTCAGTTCTCAAATTTAGCATCCAGCAGCCTCCCCTGCCCAGCAGCCGACCTCAGAACCAGATCTTCACAGGGGCAGCCATTCCCGTCCACCACCCTGCCTCTTCACAGTGCACTTTCCCCTGGTGCTCTCCTCCTCCAAACCGTGGAGATAGGAGTGTTTCTCTTTTCTTTTATTCTTGTAGCCAGCATCATCTGGTCCTTTGGGGCTCTTCCTTAGATAAAACAACAGCAAAATATCTGGCACTGAGTTGTGGGGACATAGCAAAGCTTACTTATAATCGCTGCAAGAGAAAAACCAACTCCAATTTTTCTCTTAATTAGAAACACGTACAGAGGGGGAAGTATGTTGATTAAAAGAGGAGTAATGCTGCTTACAGGTTACTCTTAACTGGATGGGAAGGGAATTAATTTTCCCAGAAAATGTAGGTTTGTCAAAAGAATACTTTGGTCTTTTTCAGAACAGATTTCTTTCTAGAAAAAAGTTACAATTTATAGCGGACAATAAGATTTCCAAATTATGTTTGAAATATTGTTCATCTTATTCTTTATAATAATCCTGAAGATAAGTTTTCAAACAAAGACCTTACAGCTATCTCAGAGGTACAAGGGAAGTGGCAAAAGGTGAAGTTCAGAGTGCTCCAGAATGTTGACAGCCTGGAGCTACAATCCCTGTGTTTCCTCTTTTCCCCAGAGAGCCACCAGAGCCAGGAATGTGAGATCCTTTCCTCCAGCATTCACATCCTAATCCAAGGTCTGCTGGGTCGGAATGGTTGATCGGTTATTCTTCATGAGAGTGTTGGTGATGACACAGACTATCTTCTTTTAGTGGGTGAAGAAAATTGAAGTCTTGAAGAAATTAAGCAGTTGATTTAAGTTCTCATTTCCTCGGGTACATTACAGGTTTTTAGCCTCTTGGTATATTATTTCTGTTATAGTCCATGTGAGAAGTTATAGACCCCATACATATTGCTGTGCAGTCCACTTTAACCCAACATAACTCAAACACCAGGTCAATGCAGATGATGAAAATTTATTGTAATGAAGCTGCTACTGATCGGTCAGGGCCGCAGAACAGAGTTGGGATTTGAACTGAGCCCCTTAAGGGATGTTGTACAGCATATTTAAAGGATGAAACCATACAGCCAGGGACAGCGGGGGGGGGGGGGGGGCTGTAGCATCGTCCAGTCATATTCTGACATAAAAGGTTGAGCAAGGGAGTTTCCATCAATCAGGATAGGAGTAGGTTCCTGGGCCTGGGAATAAGAACATGACCCTGCCGGCAAGATGGAGAAGTTGTCCTTGAAATGGACTCAGACAACTGTCTCCTTACAAGTTGTCCCTGAGATGGCTGGAGTGAGACAACTGTTTTCCTCACAACAGAAGCTGTTCTGCTGTTGGGAAGTTCCCATCTCCTCTAGGTCCTGGGACTCTGAACTTAGTTTCTCCTTATGATTAAATGGAGCCTGAAAACGAAATACTAGTACTTAGAATAAGTTTTTTTTGCTTATTCCCAACAAAATAAGGCCAAATTATACTTCTTTATTAAGCCAGCGACCAAAAGCAGACTTTGGCCCAAAAGAATCTCTCAGCACCAAAGCTCAAGGTAAAGCATTTCTAAAGAAAAACCACAATGGCATTGCCAGGTGTAGGTCAGGGGAGTCTGGTAGAATTTGTTTTGACTATACAATCAGCAGATATTTTGGTTATGTATCTGAGCCATGGAAAGTCCCAAATGTGCTCTCAAGGCAAATGTGACTGTTGGGGGTGGGGGTAAGAACTGAAAAAGTGACCAAGCAGACACAAAATGGTATGACTTTAGTCACTTCACTCCTCATTTCTTTCAGTTACTTCTCAATACTTGAGTTTTATGAAGGAGCAGGTACTGAGAAACAGTTAATAAATGAGGGCCCAGCATGGGGCCTGTGAGTAAGGAGTTAGCCATGGATTCCTAGTAAACCAGTTATGGAACCCAGAATTGCTGGCCTTTTTTCCTCATTTATTAGGCCCAACTTTATTGGATGCTTAGTTAGGCATAACTCATTTTTAAAAAAGCAGATTTTTAAAAATAAAACTGTTGGGGCTGGAAAGATGGCTTAGAGGTTAAGAACACTGGGTGTTCTTCCAAAGGTCCTGAGTTCAATTCCCAGAAATCACATTGTGGTTCATAGTGAAATTTGTGCCTCTTCTGGTGGGCGGGCACACATGCAGGCAGAATGCTGTATAAATAAGAAATAAATAAATCTTTAGAAAAAAACTTATTTTTAGGTGAAGCAGAGTAGTAAAAATGTGTGTCAGAGTCCAGTCCTGGGTAGCCCTGTAGGAAACATCATGGCAATATTATCAAGAGTCCAAAGGGAGGAAGGGGATCATGACCCCCATCTCCACAGCTCACTCATTCTGAGCCTTAGTTTCCGCCACGTGTGCACACTGGCTTCCGGCTTTGTAGTCAGAGCAGGTGGAGAGCTGGTCTCTGGAGGGTGAGGCTGTTCTGGGTGAACCTTCACAGTCAGGGCTTCTTCTCAGGCAGTGCTTTCTTCACCTGGATGTGGTGGCTCCATGGGACGACACCTGTCACAGTGTGTAGATGACTGACTGTCCATAGTGTAGCCATAGCGGACTGGCCCCGGACAGCCAGGGCTACACAGAGAAACCCTGTCTTGGAAAAAGAAAAAAAAAAAAGAAAAAATTGGGCGTGTGGGGGAGTGCCTCTTACTGAATTAGCTAATTACCTCCTGGCCATGGAATTAGCTTTTTCTTTCTAAGAGGAGGAGAATTGGTAGCCAGGGTAAAGGGCATGACCAATTGAACTATACCAGTGGGTGATAGGTTAGGTACAAGGTTTCCCGTGTTCTCACAAACCCCTGAGTCACTTTGAGAGACACTGAGGGCAGAGTAATTGCTATTTCTCTCTATATTGTTTTGAGACTTGGGATGAGCTACACCCACACATATTATATGAACTGGCTATAATAATGTGTCCCTGTATTTTCAGTTGTTAATTGCTGTGCCTCTATGGCCAGATGTGTGGCAGGATATGTCAATGTCACTTCCTCACCTGCCCAAAAGAGGATTCTCTGAGATTATCATGTTAAAAGCAAGCTGCCATGGGGGAGGTTATGGAAGGTCACATTGCCCTCAATCTGGTCAAAAGGCAACAGGAAGATATGAACAGGGCATAGCCCTGATGCCCACTGGGGCTCAGCATGAGTAAACTGGAATTTACCCACTATACTAATAGCTTTTTTTTTTTTTTTTTTTTTTTGGTATGAGAAAGGAATGTGGCTTTTGTTAAATAAAGAGCTGGTGGCTGAGCTAGGGCAGAGAGAGAGAGAAGGCAGAGACAGGAGCAAAGCAGGGAGGTAAAGAGAGAGCCCTGGGTTGGGGGTGCAATGGCAGGGAAATCAGGGTCGCTAAGCCTACTTAACAGGCAAAACCTGTTAACATCGCGCTCTCCCCGCAGCACGCTCCCCGAGCCCGTGGGAGCAATGCCTTTTATGATCAGCTCCCTGCTGGGGCAGATCACTTGGGGCACAGGGTGTGTGCTAGCAGTGGGGTCACCACAGCAGGAACTGCAACGTGAGCAGGGGCAGAGCAGCTCCTCCTCTTCTTTATCTCACTAAACCTGAGGCATCCTGGCATCCTTGGCAGCTGCTGAGTCCAGGCCTCCACCTCGCAGTGGCTATGTATGCCAGTTTTTCTGTGTGGGAGAGTTCTTCTAGCTCCCCTGCTTGGGCAGGAGACTGTAGAAAATGCCATGCTAGCTCTGTTTTTGCCTCTTTGAGAGACCATAAGTGGGAGCTGAGCAGTGAGGTAAGAAGGGTTGAGATCAGACTCCAAGGATCAGAGGAACTGGGAGAAGTAGAGGAGGAGACAGCTTGGCAAGAGGGTGTTGCCGGATATTTGATGCCATTGTGAACCCAAAAATTGTGAACTGTAAAACCCTGTTTCTTTGGTGTGGTTGAGCCTTATCACACACCTTTAATCCAAGAACTTTCTGTTTATTGTAAACTGGTGATTATGCTCTGGTTCACCCAACGCTAGCACACTCCTTTAAAAGCTTTCTGTACATGGGATTTAATAACGTTAACCCTAGGTCAAGAGGCAGAGCAAGAAACCAGGTGACAGGTATCAAAGAGTAGGAAGGACTTTGAGGTGGGGGTGGGGGTATTTAAAACTGTGGGAAAGAAAAAGCTTTAGCTCAAGCTCTGGCTTTAGCTTCAGCCTCAGCTCCTTTGCTCCATGGCTTCTTGGGCTTTGAATAGAAAGCCTTTAGCCTTGGGTTTTTTTGGCCTTTTCCTGGTGCACTGTCAGTTGAGCCAGTGAGCCTTTTGGGTTTTTCCATCTGGACCTAGCTGAGAAGGAAGGTCAGCTGGGTGCTTTCTCTGCCTCTCTGAGCTAGGCAGTTTTCGCCCCAGCAGCTGGCTCTTGAGTCCTTATTGGTAAAATACAATGGTTGAGATTTTCCTTCTTTTAAACAAGAGGGTCCAAGTGAGAATGAGAAGCA